AAAATATTAGTGAATAATAGTTTTGATTGGATTTAACCCCCATCTTATCCAAAAAAAAAAAAAGAAAAACATACTTCACGTATTGTCAACAATCATTATTATGTTAAAGAGGGACTAATTTAGTATAAAACTAGTTAGAGTCTTTAGTCACAGTAAAAAAAATGTCAAAGCCTATTTCTGATAAGATGAAAATACCAGACTGGCACTTTAAAAATGTCCTTTCCATAATCAGAGTTATGAGCGGGAGTGAGTATTTTGAATTTGTTGGGAATGCAAAGCCTTAAGAGTCGACTTTCTCATTTCTTTGACTGACTATAACAGACATCATATAGAGTCTGTTTTAGTAAAGAAATGAAACAACAGTCTCCCTGATCACCTGGTAGGCTTTTTGCCTTCTCTGGTAGAGTTTGGATGATGAGACAATTTGGAGAGAGGAGATATTCCACCCAGGTCCAGATCTGAACCTGAGTCTGTTGAGCTCTCAACGCCCCATAGAGATTAAATACTATAATTGCTCTATGGTAGGCGGGTGAACTCACTGGGATGCTCCTCTGGCTTATTCAGCCATAACTGGAGGGTGTGGATGTTTTCCAGATTAAATCAAGCTTCAATGTCAAGCTTTGTTTAACCTGACAGGTAGTTTCTGTGTGGCATTTAAAAAAGTCGTTATGGTTCTGTCTATTTAGTTCCCTTGTCCTTTCTGAAAGTAAATATTCTGCTGTTATCTTTGTTCAGACATTATTTTTAACAACTAATGTTTAAATTGCAAAGTTCTATGTATTGTCTTATTTTCTGCTTGAAAACTGCTTTTATTTTTAATCACAGCTTCATGTTCCGTGTTGTGTAGCTAGATGTGGTGATGTAAATGAATCAAGCAACCATTTCTCCTCTTGGGTTCTAATGCACTGCTCTAGATAAAACCTTATCTTACTTTAAGATAATATGACAATAATCAGTTGTAAAGTTTTATTTTTCTATTTCATTTGAGTGACTGCATGGGTTCTTGTTTTTCTTCTTGTGTCTAGCAAAAGCTTGTTGTCAGAACTTAGTCTTGATGTTAATTAGCAGAAAAAAATTACGTTTGAAAGTAAAAAATATCACAAAGTATGCAATATGAAGCAGAATGACATTCTCCACAGTGATGTTATAGGAAGCTTGATGGCGTGTTTAAAGCAGCCATGAAGTGCTGATTAACATGGTGTCACATGTATTTTATGATGAGCCCCTCCTTTGATTTATGATTCAGACAATGAACTTGCATATTCATCTGTACAGAAATCATCAGGCAACAAACATTCAGGCTTCTTTTGTGCAATGTGCTTCTGTTCCAAAATCCTGTGTTGCAACCATTTGTACATCTAAAACTCAATAAATGACATTGAATTATAAAAGTCGCTTTATTTTAGGAGTTGAAATCAGAGTGAAACTTGAAGTACTTGATGAACATTAAACAAATGGCGTAAATATTAAATATTCATGTGCTCAATACATGTCTATGCACGCATATGAGTGTATGGGAAGTAAGTGTGCATATATTGACGTCTTCATTTTTATGTCTACCAAGATTTTAAATGTTTCAACGCAGAAACGATTTTATTAAAGAAATTAAAGTAGAGGTGCTGAATTTTATATCATTGAATCTTGATACCGAAAACTTTGATTTTCCAGATTTTATTGCTACTAACTTGATCAAAACAGCACTAGTTCTACTCTGAGCTTTTTGCTGCTAATAAAGCATATTTTATCAACAACTCTGTTGGATTAAAAGGCAAAAATATTCTGCTGTCATATTCGCAAATGCAACAATCGTATCAGAAGTGTGTTTCTCATTTAGATAAAACCAAAAAATGGAAATCTAGATAAGTTATTTTTTTCTTGAATTGAGCTAAAAGAGACATTTTGCCAATGGAATGAGACAATTTACATTTAAAATAAGAAAACACAATTACATTGTCTTTTTTCAAGTGCATATTATCTAATTATCTTTAAGAGTAAAAATCCTCATTCCATTTGCAGATAATCTTATTTACCTATTCAAAACAAGAGTAAATACACTTAATTTAAGAAGTTTACTTATTTCTAGATCAAAATCAATTGCCGTTATGCATTGCTCCTGTATAGAAGTAAATCCCATTTTGTGTTACAATGGTTTTTATTTTTCCAGATAAAATCAGAGTTCAATTTGTTTATTTCTTGTATAAATATAGAAGAAAGAGCTAAGGATTTTGCAGGTGAACAAAACGGATTACGATTCCATTTTAATCAGTGAGGTCCTTCCAAAAATAGTCATATCCCTTTGTAACCATTATTTAATATAGTTTTGTTTTTACCCCACAATATTTTGAAAGTTTTTACTCTTAGAAGGGTGTGAGCTGGGGACATAGAAACCTAAATATTGAACTTCTGTGCTGACAGGAATATTAAATAACACTGTTTCTGGACTTAGACTTAGAAAGACTTTATTGTCATTTTGTACATAGTGTATACAAAAAGAAATTTCTTTCAGTACAGCTCTCAAGATATCTCCATTTTTAAAGTGCAGCAGTGATAAAATGTAAACATAATGGACCACCATGAATTGTCAACATTAAGATTAAGACCTGAAGCCTTAGAGAATAACTGAATCACATTCAAAGCAATTTGAATTTGGTCCTCGCTGTTTAAACTGCTAGCTGACTGATTAAAATAGATTTTTCATTGATATGCAGACCTTGGACCTCTGAAGATTTTAGATGAACAGAGAGTAATTCAGTGACTGTGATAAACATAAGGGGGGGAGAGACTACAGCCTTGTCTGATACCACGATTAATATGAAATCTAGGGCAAGTTCCTCATGAGAGGGAGACAGTGATATTAATATCTTTATACAACATCCTGATTATTGAAAAAAATGTTTTCAACAAAGCCAGGTTTTAAAGTTTAAAATTTAAATAAATGCTCGATGGAATCAAAGGCTTTGCAGGAAGTCCATCATCTGTCTGTGTCTGTCTTTTAATCTCAGTGCTAAGATTGGATGCCAAGTTGTTAAAATGTATTTGGAAAAGTGATTGGTCTAAATTATTTAGTATACGTTTGTCTTTACCAGGCTTAGGAATTCATTTTATCATACCCTGTTTCATGGCTGTCATGAGTTCATTTGAAGCTATTCATTCGTTTATTGCTTCAAACTTTGGTCATTTTATATCCTCCCAAAAAATTTTATAAAAGTTGGAGGTTAATCCATCAGGTCCCAAGGAACAGTCAGAGGGAATTTATTTAATTGCAGCATCAAATTCTGCTATATAATTATCATATAATCTTATAAAATTATCCTCACACAAATCTTGTGGCGAGTGGTTAGGGCATAGAGCTTGGAATCCTGAGGTTCTAAGTTGGAGCCCCACTCCCACAGATTGTTACTCTGGGTCTCTGAGCAAGACCTTTAACCCCACACAGCTCCCTGTTAGCCCCATGATGGCAGCCCACTGCTCTCCAAGGGGATGAGTTACATGCAGAGGTAAATCTCTCCAATGTGAGATTTATCAAGTTAAATCATTATTTAAAGGAATCATCTATCTTTGAGATCAGATGATGGGTTTATTAAAAAAATATCTTGTGCAACTCTGCTCATTTTGAGAGGAGAAATTGGAGACTTCGTTTGATATGTGAACAGGAATATTACACTCTACCATTTCCTAATAAAGACAGTGAATTTGTTTTTGTTGTCTTTGTTTTTCTGATCTACAAAAATAGTCTTCAATCAATTTGGCTAAATCGTATGTACCGGTATGCATTATGTGCCTATTTAAGAAAGATCTCATCCAAATCAGACTGATTTTTTAGGATATTCAAAACACATGTCATCTCAAGGCACTTTACAGCTCACCAGATCATACAGTCAAATTGATTCAAAATGTTCTATCTAAGGAAAACCAGTTGATTGCATCGACTCATTGACTGGAATGCAATCCCTCACACTAAGCATGCTTGTAGCGACAGTAGAGAGGAAAAACTCCCTTTTAACATGAAGAAACCTCCAGCAGAACCAGGCTCATTATGAGCAACCATCTGCGGAGGCCGACTGGGGTTCAAGCAGACAGAAGCAGAGATACGAAAAGCAGCTGTAAAAGGGCAGCCCCGTCCAGGAAACACACAGCCAGGCAGACAAGCTCTGAGCCAACTCCCATGTCAGAGGATGAAGAAAGCACATCCAGCCAGTCATAGTCAGAGAAACAGGACTACACTGAAAAACAGGCAGATCTCCAACATCTATAAACAAAGATGTTGATGGCAGCTGCACAGCTGATATTTCTCTCCAGGATGGTGTCACAGCCAAACAGGAACAAACGAGGCAAAACTACTATGAGAAAAAGCACAGAGAGCAGACATGGGCAATGTGGAGTCAACAAGTCATCTCCATGTCATGTATTTAATCTTCCCAGCCAATTAACCAGGTGAGTCCAATCTGCACAGGTTAATTCACGGTGAAGAGTGGACTCACCTGCTTCAGTGGCTGGGTAGAACAAATACATGACATGGAGATGACTTGTTGACTCCACATTGCCCATGTCTGTCAGAGAGCATAACGTTAGAGATTGAACTGACAGATTCTGCAGAGTCGGAGAATAGAGGTAGAATGAAGCAAAAATGATGAAATAGTAATGGTATGTGAGGATTGTTTGAACTAAATCAGACCCTATTTTGTTAGTCACCCTTGTTGTTTTTTGCACTGAAGTATATAGAATATTTCCTAATAGAACATTTTAGAAATTCCCATTTTTGTAGACTTGATGATTTGCAATGATAATTTTTCATATCTTATATGATATTATATGATTTCCTTTATACAACAGCAATATTCATTATTTTTTAAAGAACGATGAATGAAGTTTCCAAAAGATCTTTTTAAAGTATTGGTGAGCAGTCATGAGATAATTTTCAGGGACTTTTAGTGACCCAGTCCTGGTAGATTGGTATGAGGACGCAGCTGCTGAAATCAAACGCACCCATTCCTCTCGCGTCCGCTTTCCGTGCGTAATGTGGAGAGGAGTGGCTTTAATTTGTTGCTGGTCATATGATGTTATTTAAACAAACAAGATCCAGCTGGCAAGAAGAAATCTATTCCAGTTGGCAGGAGATCCCAACGCTGGCAGCAGAGGTAGGTGGACATAAGCAGCAGATTAATTATTTATTTTCGGCTCATTTTGTGCGTAAGTTTCGTTTCTTCCTCGCGCAGCCCCGCCGTTGACAAACACTGCGCAGCTCATCATGGCCGACTTAGAGGATTCTGGGTTTTCCCTCATGAGCCTGGAGGATGAGCTGACCTGCAGTATCTGCCTGAGCACCTTTGACTGTCCGGTCACCATCCCCTGCGGACACAACTTCTGCCAGGACTGCCTGCTTTCCTCTTGGACAGACTCCTACAGCTGCCCGCAGTGTCGGACCCCTTTTGAAAACAAGCCGGAACTGAAGAAGAACACGGTCCTCAGCACAGTGGTGGAGACCTTCAGGGTCAGGGCCACTAAAGGAGAAGGTGTTCAGCATGTAGATGAGGAGGAGGAGGATGATGATGATGATGATTATGAGGAGGATGAGGATGATGATGATGATGATGATGATGATGAGGAGGAGGAGAAGAATGTAATCCGCTGTGACACCTGCATGGAGGCAGAGGCGGCTCAGACCTGCCTCACCTGCATGGCCTCCTTCTGTGAGGAGCACCTGCGGCCCCACAGAGAAAACCCCACATTCCGCCTCCACCAGCTGACGGATCCCATAGAGGATCTGTCTGAACACATCTGCTCTGACCACCACAAGCTGATGGAGCACTTCTGCTCCAACCATGGCCGCCTGATCTGCAGCCTCTGTCTGCAGCAGGTCCACAAAGGCTGTGCTTTCACTTCTCCAGAGGAGCAAAGAAGCCTGAAAGAGGTATGTTGGGTCTTATTTCAACAGATTTTTATTTTCTGACAGCTCTGATGCTCTATAGAATATCCTTCAGGAATAGTAGAGCACATTTGTTTTTACCAATAAGAATAGTACTTTCCCGCATAATTATTCTATTTATGTAATGGTCCTCACAGTTCTATTAGTTTTTATCCATAGTAATTAAGATGTTTCCTGATTCAAATGACTGCTCCTCCTCTGCATGCCATCCTGTTAACCACGACTTTGTATCTAAGGAAAACCAGTTGATTGCATCAATTCATTGACTTGAATGCAATCCCTCACACCAACCATGCTTGTAGCGACAGTGGAGAGGAAAAACTCCCTTTTAATAGGAAGAAACCTCCAGCAGAACAAGGCTCACTGTGAGCGACTAAAGAGTAGGTAGTAGGTTTTTTCCTTTTCAAAGGGGCTGCATCGTCCAAGGCAGTACACAGAGAACTAGCAACCCCATCAACAAAATAATCAATTTATGAAGGGTAATAAACTAAACTTTTGCCCTCTGCAGCATTGCTCAGTGACACAAAGCGGAGAGAAAGTGAAACGGATTCTTTGAAATGTACAACTGTATTATCTGATAGTGCCAGAGTGAAACCTTCTTTTGAGAATTCTGTTGAATTAATCCTGAAGACATTCAATACCATATATCAGCACAAGGTCCAAAGTATGAAGATGAATATGTGTGGGACTGTTTACATTTTGAAAAAACCAATAGCATCTAAGATATCATTAAAGGCTGCACTTAAGCTATCACCTTCAATGTCTGCATGGATTTTAAAATTCTCCACTATGATGATCCTGTCAGTATTCACAACAAATCAGATAGGAACTCTGAAAACTCATCTAAAATTTCAGAGTAAGGACCTAGTGGATGATAAAAAGTTAACAAAAGGAGGGGGTTTTGTGNATTAAGATGTTTCCTGTTTCAAATGACTGCTCCTCCTCTGCATGCCTTCCTTTTAACCACGACTTTGTATCTAAGGAAAACCAGTTGATTGCATCGACTCATTGACTTGAATGCAATCCCTCAAACCAACCATGCTTGTAGCGACAGTGGAGAGGAAAAACTCCCTTTTAATAGGAAGAAACCTCCAGCAGAACAAGGCTCACTGTGAGCGGCCATCTGCCGAGGCCGACTGAGGTTCAAGGAGACGGAAGCAGACATACAGAAAGAAACAGATACAAAAGGCAACTATCAACTAGCTCCACAGGCTTTAAGGAAACACACACCCATGTTAGAGGATGAAGAGAGCACATACAGTTAGTCGCAGTCAGAGAAACAGGACTACACTGAAAAACAGGCCAAGCTCCAACACCTATAACCAAAGGTGTTGATGGCAGCAGCACAGCTTATATTTCTATCCAGGATGGAGTCGTAGCCAAACAGGAGCACACCAGATGAAACTACTATGATGAGAAAAATGAAGAGAGTGCATTGAAAAAACAAGTATTGCACAATGGGAGAATAGATTCTTTAAAATGTACAACTGTATTATCTGATAGTGCCAGAGTGAAACCTTCTTTTGGGGAAGGAGAACTCTGTTGAATTAATCCTGAAGACATTCAATGCCGTATATCAGCACAAGGTCCAAAGTATGAAGATGAATATGTGTGGGACTTAAGGCTGCACTTAAGCTATCACCTTCAATGTCTGCATGGATTTTAAAATTCTCCACTATGATGATCCTGTCAGTATTCACACCAAATCAGATAGGAACTCTGAAAACTCATCTAAAATTTCAGAGTAAGGACCTAGTGGATGATAAAAAGTTAACAAAAGGAGGGGGTTTTGTGGCTTTGCTATTTGAATGAGGGAAACTAGGGGTTAAATGTTCAAAGAGATGTATTATTAGCTACCTTTGGAGTAAACATTAAGTCAGACTGGAAGTTGCTGCTTGTTGCCCTCCTTGCCCAGAATTTCTACAATTTATGAATTTTTACATTTGGAAAAAAATACCAAAACAGAATATTTAACTCTAACATCATAGTTCAAATTCACTAGCTTCTGCAGTCTTATTTGTTGCCTTGTCACTGTCAATGGACATGAAAGGTAATTTCTTTATTTTCTACTAGTTTTTAGTTTGATTATTATTAATATTAAGCTTATATTATGTCCAGGGGTGCAAGTGGTAGTTTCCAGTAGTCCTGCTATATGAAATAAAATGTATTGACTGATATTGATTGTTGTTGTTGATTTTTTTTATTATTCACTTCATAGGAAACAGAGAAAACAAGGAAATACATCTTATTTAAATAGAAGCAGAAACTATTAGTAAGAAATACTCAAAGAAAATCTATGTGCCTTTTCATCTGGGTCTTTATCCAAAAATAAATGATATGCAACTAAATATTTATTCTGGATATAATTTAGGGATTCCTTTGGTAGAAATTAAAGGAAGTTTTGCATCACCCACTGTGAGCTGGAAGAAATCAAATCCTAATAGCTAGACAAAGGTATTTTTTTACTTTTTTATTGGCAGATGGTGTTTATCCACCCCAAACTGTTTATTAAGTAGCATGTGCAGACACAGCTGAGCATTGAGCTGCTGAGTACACCACTGGGGTGGAGCGCAAGCGCAGACATGGAGCTAAGAGACTGCTCTCTAGACGAGCTCAGCTGGCAGAGCAGAGTTTTTAAGAGTTGAGAGCGCATCAGACATGTATTGAATGAGATTTAAACAGTTTACATTTGTCTCACCAAGCTCTCAGAATTGTAACTATGGACTAAAGTTGGCACAAAATAGCAGACAGAACTAACTGCATCTATTTTGTTGCTAAGTTTTATTATTTTTACTCTTGCACGCTACCAGCTTTGAATTCCTTGTCTTTTTGTTTGCAAAGTTATCTTAGCTATTTTATTTTCATTTATCATTTCTGGTCTTTCTTAATCAGAGATGGACTGATGGATTAGTAGATTTATGCATTTTTCACAACTTAGTGCAACAACAAACAACAAGTCTTTTATATGGATGAAATTGTACAATACAAACAGAATAATAAGATAAAATCAAATTACACTACTTCCAAATATCTAAGACTGCATGAATTTGTTAATTCAGTTAGAGCCGTACATTGTTTTGTTTTTTCCTGTATGTGTAATGTTTGTATAAGATGAAATTAATAAGCGAGTTTTCTATCATATGCTGGTCTCTGCAGTTTATTTGAAAAATGTGAAAGAGAGCCATGCTTAAAAAAAGGATGACTATTTGTGTACATATTTTGTCTTTTGTTCTTAGCTTAATTCAAAAATAAAAGTGACAGCAACTATTTATTTTTTATAAAGATTGCTTTTTTCCAGTCCTCTACTAGGCCTAAAGTGGTTCCCAACCTTTTAGGACTTGTGCAGACTTTTTTGCATTTTGTCTTACCATTATCATTCTAATTTCATTCTTTGATTTCTTCCTCTGTAGTCTGAGTTCAGAGACAAGTTGGGTATACTGGACATAAAGATCGACAAGACTGATAACATTGTGCTTCAGATGAATGAACTCCAGGGCAAGCTCAAGGTATCTTTTTCTCCCCTCAAACCAAAGTTTATAAAATGCAGATGAATCATTCCGATTGTTTTTATAACCACCATCCAGGATGCAGCAAACAAGAAAAAGATGGCGCTGGCTGCCGTATACCAGCAGATAAGGGAGATGTTGGCTCAGGATGAACGTGTGGCCCAGCATGAGGTGGATTGTGAGTTAGAGGCTGGTCAGAACAAACTTGGAGACCTTACCAAGAAGTTCAACAACAACAGTGAGAGGATGAAGAAAGCCAGAGAGGAGGTCTACAATCTGCTGAGTCATGCTCAAACACCAGCCTTTCTTCAGGTGGGTTCAAGTTACTTCCTCTTTTTGTAGCACCACCAGAAACATGCTCTTTTTCACAAAAATCCACATTTATAGCATGAATTATGAGTTGCTCTTATTACTTAATCTATTTATTTTTTCCACAGGCATCTTTTGAGCTGCCCAAGGTGGTTAAGTTTGACCCCCACCCCCCTCGAGTCAACCTGGACTCCAAGAGGGTGATGGCAACCCAGAGCTTTGCTACTACCCTGCAGGAGAGCTTGACGATGCTCTTCAGTCAGCCTTTTGAGGCCAGAGGGCCCCTGCTTAAACCAGGTAAATATACCAGTACATCATAATCAGAAATGTGTTATTTTTTATTTTTTTCTCCATACAGTAGAGCTAAGGCTGTTTGATAAATATATTTTTTCCCGACAGAATTGAACACCGGCTCTGATGCATCTGGTGGGTGAAAGTCATACAGAAAAAATGGATATATCAGAAATAAATAGCTTTTACTTTGACATAGATGCAGCCACTTTTAATTATTAGAAGTGTGGGAAATATTCTGTGTCCTGATATGAGCTTTGTCTTTCTTCAGGGAAGGCAGAAGCTTCTCTCCCAAGGGCTGAAAACAGTACATCCTGGACTGAGTCCCGTATGTATATATTTATTTTGCCACAAAACGGGCTTAGATCAGTTTTTCTGAAGACTTTTCACCAGTCCTTATCAAATCTGTCGGGTCTCACCGGAGCAAACTCTAGTCGGAGTGCTAGTGTTTTAACAAGCAACATAAGCACATCCTGAGCACATTTTAATTGGATGCAATTGATAGACTTGGAGTATTTGTTGAATATGCGTCATGTGTTGGGCCATTTAAATCATGATGATTGTGTCTATGTAATTTATTTGGAATGAGATTTGGGACTGAATTGTAGATGCTTGGAAGATTAAACCACATCTTCCCCCTCTGTTCAGTGATGTTTTTTCTCTTTTTAACAAAGATTCAATTCACTTTATTTATATAGCGCCAATTCACAACACAAAATCAGTTGATTGCATCGACTCATTGACT